CTACTTCGTAGTACTTCGTCGTCCTCTCTCTCTCTCTCTCTCTCTCCCCCGCCGCCTTTCTACGTGACTAGTTTTCGTGGGACGCTCTCTGGCTAGAGAAGGTGTCCCACTTCGGTATCTCTCATCGTGCGCGGGAGAAAATAAGGGCTGCGAATTAACGAGAAAGGGCGATCGTCGGCGCTTCGTTCCGAACGATTTAGACGGATCGCGCAGCTCTCAGCGGGACGTGCATTTGCATTTTCCGCGGCCAGTCGAAAGGCCGTAGGAAGCTTAGCCTCGCTAAAAATAACTCGGGAATCGAAGGATGGTGTGCGAATTTCGCCCAAGACCAGCCATCATCGTCGTTCTATTGTTTCGAGACTGTAATATTAATTAATTGAAGTGTAGCCACCGATCGGAAAACAGCGATTAAGCCGCGTCGCTGCTGTATCCAGTTACGTTGCGTTTAATAGTCGGCAAAGCCTTGATCCACTTGAATATAATGGCGAGTGCAACGCTCCGAGTGTGCGCGGCACGCAAAAGTTGTATTATCTCCGCAATAGATCGGCCTCCTGTTCGGGAGTTATCGTCGCAGGATCACTTTAATCACACGCGCAGACCATCCGCAATACTATCTCGCTACGGTTTGCGCGAAATATTGAATTATTCATACGCGCAGGCGTTTTCCGAGACTTCAAGCTTCGAACAATCGGGTGCAACGGCGGGCCGAAAATATCGGCCCGCTACCCTCGTTTACTCGCACAATCGCGCTGGAAACGCGTAGAGTATCGTCGGCGTGACGATCGCCAGGCCCGAACAAAACTCTATTCTTTTGCCGTTGACGGCACGCCGTTACACCGCCGCGCATCGGCTTAATGACACAGCGAGCGGTAAACCGACCGTTGCGAAGAATTGTACAAATATACAAGGTGTATCCGAAGTGAGCGGCGATAAATCGAAGCTGTGTCAATTCGTAAGCCGGGATCGGTAGCAAAGTGGCTTTCGCGCGATTAACACGCTTGTAATATACACGTGGGAGAAAAAAAAAGACAAGTGCGCGAGAAATCGAGACGCCTCGCGCTTCTACGCGGCGTAGAGAAGCACCTTTGCCACGCTCTACGCGCGCGCGGAAGAAGCATCGCGTCTGAATCGGGTTCGCGGGGTCACGGCAGAAACGAAATAACAAGCTCGTCTTCCCCGCTCATTACGCGCAGACTTCATTATCCGGCGTGACTTAGGGAACTCGCCGCTCCCGCGGCGTCGTGAGTCTCGCAGGCCGACGGCAAAAGCCCTTCGCCGCGATTAAACCGGCGGACCTGGGAACCTTCGCGATAACACCGCCGATTTGTGTGGCCCGCCCGGTGAAAGCTACTCACTTTTATCGCCGTGCGATGAAAGACATTGCATAATTGTGCTCAACGCTTAAACGTTTCGCGAGTCTGCGGGCGTAGATAAATCGCACGTTCGAAGCGGGAAGCGTCGCTCTTGAAGAAAGAGAAAAAGAAGAGGAAAACGACTGTCCTCTCGTCTCCGCGACAAAGTGGAGTGAAGCAATTCCAGCGAGCGAGCCAATTTCCATTCGCGAAACTCGATCCACTCGGGCGAAGCTCGGCCGGGCTCATCGTTTTGCGCTTGCACTTTTTCTCAAGCGAGACGAAAGGTCAGGCCGATGCACCTGCGCTCGAATCCCGCAACAATGGACCGCTTTTTTTCTCCCCCTCCCGCCGCGCCGCTGTCAATCGATCGGGGAGATTAATAATGTTTCGCCAGGAACATTTCGCGGGAGAAAGTAGCCGGGCGAGACGGATTCTATTCCGACGTGTCGGGGTCGCCGGGTCGTACATCAATCGGAATATCGCGCTGATTGCTTCCCGCGTACGTCGGACGAAGGCACGAAGGCTTCGGGCAATTCCTTCCGAGCAAATCGACGCTCGGAGTTTAAATCAATACTCGCAATTGGAGCGTCGAGCTTACGTTTTCTCCATTATATCGCCGTATTTGGACAGTTGGATAAGCCACCTTCGCCTACGTATCTTGGTGAATTGTCGCAGTCCTTACCACACCTTACTACACGCGATACAATACGCACGGCACGTATAAAACGAAACGTGTACGGGAAATCGAACGCGACAAAGCCGCTCTTGGGAAAAAAAAAAAAAAGAACGATACAATCGATTATTTCAAGCTAAATCCGATATAACGCTGGACGAAGGATCGCCCGGAGCTTTTCTCCAACTTTCGCATTTTTCAGGTGATCGCTAACGCGTTAATTAAGCCGCACGGCGGTGTACACGTGTGTGTGTGTGTGGGTGGCGAGAAGGCGAGCGTGACACACGAGATTCGAATGCCTGTCCTCGTTAAATCGGCGATAGCACAATGCCATTCATGATCCTTTCCCCTTCTCGGTGCTCTCCACTTAACCGGTAACTGGAGCCGGTGTGGTGCGCCGTTAAAACATTTCCGCGGGCTGTATTCCCATCATTGTTCCGCGCCGAATATGAAATAATCGAGGCGACGCGCCGTGCGCGCGGGGCGCGCCGAGCTGACGGCGTCGTCGAAAGCGCACTGGAAGAAAGTACATGAAAGTACACGCGGGTTTTTCAAACGGAAACGCGTAAGTGGAAATATGAGGCAAGAAAGGAGAAGGAATCCTAAATCATTCCGGACAATTCTGGGTAGAACAATCCACTTTATGATTCATTGAGTGAGCGAGAAATCTAGGATTTCTCTGTCTTCGAGCATTATTAGATGTCGATTCGGTGTTACATTTTGGAGGTTATTTTCTTCAGATACGAATCGTTGCCCAGTCATTGATCTTAATTGTGCGTTATTGCGCAACGTAAGAAAAAACGGATGGAGCGAATAATTAATTTACGTGTAAATCAAGCTGTGCCCGCGACAAAAAAGTGGACAGATTTATTTAAAAATTCCGAAATTAATTATCACGCAATTAAATATTTGCAGCTAGAATATTCGATGCTTGAAACCTGCCAAGAGTTTTCTGATCTTACGCTGAAAAATTCTCGCCAAACAAAGTTGCCATAACTGAGCGATAACGGCCTATCGATGTATAAAAATAAAAAAATTCGTTTATAA